TTGGATTTTCAGAGAAATGTACAGAACTTCAGGTAAGTTCACCGATCTTTAGAGATATTTGCACAACTTCAGATAAATTAATCATGAAAATCTACAGAGAAAATTACAGAACTTTCGAGAAGTTCGTAGATTATTAGAAATTTTGTGAACATCAGAGATAATTGTTGATCTTTAAGGATCTTATATCTTCAGGGATTCACGAACTTTGTAGATTTTTCGGAAAATTTGCAGATCTTCTGAAGAACACACAGAATTTCAAAGAATAATTAAAAAATTGCAGTCTGAAGGTTTGTGGATATTTAAAGATATTTCACCGGAGAACAGAAACAAAACTTCAGGGACGTCCGAAGGTCTTCAAAGAAATATGCAGAATTGAGTTCGTAACAGAAATTTCCAGAACTCAAAGAATCATGTAGATCTATAGAGAATTTTCCCCACTAGCTTGTCGAAAGTTGGTATCGACATCCTGGCGAAGTTTTGAAATCCATTTTCATCTTCATATCGCAGCTCTTGAAGGACAAGATGAGCCAGATCCCTGCCGCTGTTCCTCCTGAGCAACCATTTTCTACAAAGTTCACCTTCTCCTTCTCATTTTATTTGAAATAATAAAAGCAAATACGCCTGCCGAAGCTAGAGCAATTTTCCGGTAATTCAGGATGGAAGTATTTACTTTTGATTCCTGATACAGTTTTGTTTTGAAATCTAAATTGACAGTTCTTTCAACATTTGCAAGCAGTGTGAACACCAGCAAACAGAGGGTTTCGACAAAGAGTGTCGAAAGTAAATTCGAGCAGATTTTTCATAATGGCGATGGTTAAAATCAGATCAAGAAATCAGATAGTCTAAACGGACCTTTAGTGTTCGCGCTCTTTCTTTCGTGGTTTGTTGTGCGTGTGTGTGTGTGCCCCGAAATGGGGAAGCATCGCTCGCGAAGCCCGACGAAGAACCAGGTCCCCGGTGAAGGAAGCTCCGGTGTACCATCGATGGGCATACCCAGCCAGCTGTAACAGGAAAGCGCAGCAAAAAGAGGAAGAAGAATCGGGACCAGTCCGATTACACGATTTCTCGCGACGAACGACAGTGATGTCGGAGATTTCGATGACGTTGCCGACATAAGCACAGCAAAAGTAAAGCTACCTCCAGTGGTAGTAAAAAATGCCCATCTTAACGATCTCATCGCAGATCTGGCGTCGCTGGGCGTTAAAGCCGAATTCAAGTTCGGCAGAGTTGGCACCAAGGTGATGCTCCGTACGAAAGCGGAGTATGACTTGGTCGTCGCCCACCTGAGGACTTCCAAGGTGGAATTCTTCACCCACGACATTCCCGGTGAGAAACCATTCAAAGTCGTCATCAGGGGTCTACCGAACTTTGACCCGAAGTTGACCGAAGCGGAAATCAAGAACCGCTACAAGCTAGCCCCAACTGCCGTCTATTGGATGACAAGGAGGGACGAGAACGTCGAGAAGTACCCGGATTGCCTTTTCCTGGTGCATTTCCAGAAGGGAACGGTGACGCTCAATGCTTTGAAGGCCATCCGCTCTATCAATTGCATAATTATCCAATGGGAGCCATCAGCGATGCCTGAATTTCGGGCACGGCACCCGAAACTGCTACATCAAGCCACGATGTGGCAAATGCGCTCAAAACCATGTTTACTCCGAGTGCGTTGTCGACGAGTCGGAAACGTCCAAATGCGCCAACTGTGGTGGCGCTCATCAAGGGTCCAACAAACAGTGCCCCAAACGCGAGGATTTCAAGCGGATCCGAAAACAGGCGTCCACAAGAAACCAACCAGGACGGAAGGACAAAACGCCGGCATTCAGAGTGGAGAACACGGTCAAGCAAATCCGCGGGTGCAATCCGGCCCTCGTCAAGAAACGTCTGGTGCTTATGCTGGACAAAACTCCCCATCCCCCCTGGATTCTGGAACAACCATCAGCACAAAACGTCAATCCCGATCTCTTCTTTGCGGATAAGCTGATGAAGATTTTCGTCGACATGACCAGCGCTCTTCGTCAGTGCCGCAACAAGCCAGAACAGATCCAAGTGCTCGGTAAGCTTAATATTAATTATGGTGTCTAAACCGATAACTACCGTTACTCCGCAAGCACAGTATTGACGTGGGCCTTCTAACAGAGACCCATCTCAAATCCGGTGACAACTTTTGGTTGCCTGATCACCACATTATCCGGCTTGATCGCACCAGCTCCAGGGGTGGTGGTGTTGCGATCATCATTAAGAAAGGAATCAAGTTCTGGACGCTGCCCCATATCCACACTTCTATCATCGAGGCCCTTAGTGTGGAGGTGGAATCTCCAACTGGAAATCTCCTCGTCAGTGTGGCATCCAATTTAAAAATGACCTGACCACCATTCGTCATTGGGGGCGTCTGCTCTTCGACCACTCGCAGCATGGGCTGTATACAGTGAAATTCCCGGATGAACCGACATTCATCTCTCCGGCGGGAAACCCTTCCACGTTGGACTTTTCTCTATCGAACTTTGGACTATCCAAACCGATGGCGATGAACGATCTCAGCTCCGACCACCAACCGGTGGTGGCTGAAGCTGGCATCAACGTGGCACCAAAGATTACCATCATGTCAACTGAGTGCAGTTTGGGCCGAAAATCCGCCGCTTGACACCGTAGAGGACATCGACCGGGCATTGGAAGGACTCCACCAGACCATATCCGTGGCTGACGAGACGTGTGTTCGACAAGTTCCTGTGAGGGGTAAGTTTGTTGCCATTGATTCTCACACCCAATGACTGATTCGCTTGATAAATGTGAGTAGACGCCAGTTTCAGAGGACTGGTGATCTGGTTAAAAAACGTGCAATGGTCGATCTGAACAGGCAGATTGCTTCCAGAATGGACGCACTCCGAAATGAAAGTTTCGGGCGTGTTGTTCAGAATCTGGATGACCGCTCCCGTCCATTCTGGAAGGTAGCCAAGGTGCTGAAAACTCATCCAAAACCCGTTCCATCTCTCAGAGTTGGAAATGATGACAATCGGCTCATTACCCTATAAGAGAAAGCAAATGCGATTGGCAATCATATTGCTGCATCGCATTTGCTTGGCTCAACTATCCAAAATCCGCTCAAAAATGAGGTGACGCAATACGTCCAAAATGTAGATTACTCCCCTTGTGCCGTGCCTCCGGAGGATAGAAATACGGTAGAACAGATTTGCTAAGCGCTGAAATATTCAAAGAATTTGAAGGCGTATTTAACCTAATCATAAATAGGCTTAGCTGCTAGTCTATGCAGTCTTTCCAAGCATCTGGAAGTTAGTAAAAAATAATACCGCTCCGCAAACCCGGTAAAGATCCAGCATTGCCGTCAAGCTACAGACCGATCAGCCTCCTCTCAGCGCTGAGCAAATTGTTCGAGAAACTCATTCTCAATAGACTGCTCAAGTTAGTCGAGGAAAACAATATTCTTCTACCGGAACAGTTTGGGTTCAGGAAGGGGCACTCCACCACTCATCAGCTATTACGGGTGATGAACAACATCCGGAGTAACAAGGCTGTATCCAAGTCCACAGCCATTGCCTTGCTAGACGTTGAAAAGGCGTTTGACAATGTTTGACATGACGGACTTGAATACAAGCTTTGTAACTTCAATTTACCGTTGCATTTGGTCAAAATTACCCGTAACTACCTTCAGCAAAGGTCGTTCAAGGTATCGTTGAATGGTTGTCTCTCAGACAAATTTTCCATCCCGGCAGGCATTCCGCAAGGTAGTTTGTTGGGCCCCTTGCTCTACAGCTTGTATACTTCCGAAATTCCTCCCCTCGGAGACGGTTGCGTGTTCTTCCTGTTCGCAGATGATACCGCGATATCAGTCAAGGGTAGAATGCCTCGTGAAATGACAAACAAACTACAATAATGCCTTGACACCTTTGCTGACTATGCAAAAACTTGGAAAATCAAAATCAATGCCTCCAAAACCCAAACTATCATGTTTCTGCATAGGCAATCGCCCAAACTGATACCGGCACCTTCTTGCACAGTAGTCATGGATGGCACAAGGGTTGACTGGTCTGCTGAAGTAACGTACCTTGGAATGGTATTCGATGAGAAGCTCCTGTTCCGCTCGAATATAGAAAAGACGTTAGTTAAGTGTTCAAGCTTAGTTAGGTGTTTGTATCCGCTGATTTCTCGCAGATTCCGCCTCTCTAGGGTTAACAAACTGGCTGTCTACAATCAAATCATAGCACCTGCAATCTTCTACGCTGCACCGGTGTAGGAATCAAGTGCTCAAACTCACAGGAACAAAGTCCAGGTGGCACAAAACAGAGTGCTTAGAATGATCCTCGATCGTCCTTTCGACACTAGAATAACAAATTTACATGACATTCCCAAAATAGATTCCAGAATTAACGAAATTAAAACTAAATTTGCACATATATGTAATATATCAGAACATGCTTTGATAAGCAATTTGTGTATAGTGGGTTAGGTGTATATAGTAGTTGTAGGTTAGTTGTAGTTGTAAATAGTATTTATAAGTAGTTTCTCTTTTCCAATTAAAAACAAAGAAATCCCAACAAGGTGGCCATTCTTTAAAACAGGCCTGTTGGGACTAGGAACTTTAAATAATAATTAAAAATTTCAAATGAACTATAGTTGAAAAGACGCATCTGTGTCACTTGATAATTCATACATGTAAAACCACACAAATACCAGAAATAAAGATCATTTAAAGTCAAAAAAAGTCCATGTTCTGAACGCTCGATGTTGATCCGCTCGGAAAAGCCTTCCACGAGAGTATTTTTTCTGAGACATTTTTGTGAAATATTTCACGAGTCTTACCCTTTCCATATGTGTAAAATAATTTTAATTTAAAAGCTTACTAAAATAGCCAAATAAAATTTTTAAATCCGTACTGAAACTGTATTATAATTTTTTCCATGAATCATGCCCTTTATTCTATATTTGAATTCTGTAGTAGTTGTGACCGATTATACATTAAAGATATGTTGATATAAGACACTTACCTGATCTGATTCTCCATCACCACTTGTTTTATCCTTATCCTCGTCTTTACCAGTCGGCATCAGATTTGCTGCTGAGGCTGGCGAATTTGCTTCAAACAGTGCCGATGGATCACCACCAGCATCGCGGAATTTTTCAACGTCACCCAACAGTCGTTCCAAGTATTCCACATACAGCGTTTCCTGTTCCAACTCCTTGGTCAGTTCAGCAATTTTCTGCTTATGGCGTGCCAAGCTGGCCCGAACGTCTTGCTCCCAGGCATCCGAAAGCGAACTCTGCGGGAATCGCTGAACCCACATTCGCTGAAAATCACTAAACACACTCATGATTTATTTCCTGACTTCACACCACTTGTATCAACTCTCTTGAATCTATTCGATCATAGCAAAAAGCACACCAATTGATTTGATTCCTGATCAGGTTCTCACTATCCGCAACTATTGAGACATATTTCTAGATTGTAAACAAATCATTCCGCACTGACCACTTTAGATCATAAGATTGCACAAAAAACTTTGTAGACTGACTCGACACGTACACATTTAAATTTCCTTTGGGAATCGAAAACACGCAAACATTAGCATCACTGTTTGGAATGGATGGGCCTGGCTGTCAGACTGTCGCAACCTGGTTTCCGGGTACACGTTCGTATACTTTTCTCAAACAAGAGCATCAAAATGCAAATTCAGCTGCCACAACACCTTTCTTTCCGTTCCTGTCTTGTCTTCTGTCACTGGACAGGAAACTTGTCACATTCGACACTATATGTACGCAGCAAACAACAACTAACCAGGATGATTACTAATCGGTTCCCGTCACCTTCACTCGCGTTCGCTCGGGAATTAATCACACAAAATGCTTCCCCACCACAATACGACACGGCGGCGCGATATTAGCAACTCTACACAACGACGACCACGAAGGCGGCTTTGATTGGCGAATGATATCATATATTTATTCAAGAGCACTTCAATTGAGCAACGATTTTCGCTTATCCGTTTCTTTTTTTTTCACTGTTCACAGTTCTGTTTGTGAATATAAGAAAAATGCATAAACTACGCTCTCTTTTTACATGTTTTCCGTGGCACTGCGCTTTTAACACTGTGATATGTGCACCCCATATAATGCACCGCGCCTTCACAAACTCTGCTTCTCTTTACGCAACGACACCCAACTCACAAAGCAGCCTATCATTCCTGGTCGAGTCGAGAAGCGAGAGATTCACCGTCTCTCAAACACTCCCTTTGCAGTTGCTCTGTAAGTAGAAAAGATGAGAAACGGTACTTAGAAAACGACGAAAGTAATATGAAATCTAAGCAAAATAAACTTGAGCGCGTGCAGTCAGTCAACAGTCAGTCCAGTCAGTAAGAGCGCTCTTTTTTTTTTCCCGGAGGCCAATTTGCCAGACATATGGAATCGATTTTCCGAACCGCCTCCGTAACATCGTGATGCTGATGCACTCTGGTGGGTGCTTCCCCCGAGATGGCTGCTATGCGCTCGCTGCAGCTATGCATAATCGTGTGTTATAGAGCTGGCTGCTGGCTTCGCAAGACCCGAGCAAAAATGAAAATCAGGTTTTGATAGAATGAGAAAAGGAAATTCCAATCTAGGCTTAGCATTTGAACACTAACGAACGTTCCGGAACTCGGATCTTGGAATAAATTCAAGAACATTTTTGAATGCAGTCAATATTCCGTTTGCCCCAGGAAAGTTACCAAAGCCGGACGTAAATCAAAACCCGTTATGTGATGAGCCTAAGATGCTGGTTTTCAGTAGAACATGTTACACGTACCACCTTTAAGTTATTTCGGTGGAGAATGTGAACTGTCATCGAAACAGGTTTTGTAATATTCTTTTGTTCATCATGTGGGAGTCTCCTAATGAATAGATGATCATAATCGTATAAACCAATGATTTACCCATCTTACAAAGAAAGGTATAGTTATCGCTTGGAAAACCAACTTTCATATTCCATGCGACACAGCTCGACGAGATCGGATTTTTTTTTTGTGTGAGTGTGACTCGTGTTTCTCGGCAACCACTGCACCAAATTGGACGCTAAAACCACCAAATGAAAGGTGTCATAGAACGCTTTGGAATCGGTCATCTGGTTCCGGAGATGTGGCCGGAACAAGATCCGAAAAATACGAATTTTGGGAAGTAAGTTGTGTTTCTCGACAATTACTGAACCGGATTGGACTCAATAACTGCCAAATGTTTATGCCCTCTATTCGGGACATACAACTACTGCGACCAGTAATTTCATCTGTTGTAGTATATCTCGTGTCCTTAGTATGTCCATGTCGTATTACCAACAATCAATACGAAACTAACGATTTTAAATTGGCTCACTACTTGACTAGCCTATTGGTCCCAAGCAAACGATTAACGTATCCCATTCTAGTCGAAATTCTAGTACTACGCAATGTTTGTGTTGATTCGCTACGAAAGTTTGACAGATAAAATGAGGGGTTATTGGTTTTTCCTATGTTTCGAGGGGTGAATCGATTAGCTTGGGACCGAAGAGAGTACAAGAGCTGAGCCAAAAAGTTGTACAAGTTATTTCGGGACCTTCTGGTCTTAGAGTTACCTATATGGTATTACTCCATCACTATTGAGAAATTATTAAGTATTCGGTTTTAATACAGTTTTCATTCTTGCCTTCATCACACGGAATCGATTCTAATTTAAAGGTCCCGCTATTTATACCCTTCGAAGAGTGAGAGGTGCGTCCTATTTTCAGCAATAATTGGATTCCTTAGCAATGACACCGATAATGACCAACCATGCATCAGAACCCTAGTCTTAACTACTTCAAACTAGGGAACAACGAATAGAAGATTAGGAATCACATAGATGAAGACTAACTAACTGACTTTTTCATTGTTTCAAGATCATCCCCGGTCCAGGAAACCCGAGGACATATCACTATTAACAAGGCATAAAACGTTAAAAAGACTAAGATGTGTTCCTTTGATTACAGAATGATCCTGTTCCCCTAGTTTGAAGTAGTCAGGACTACTGCACTTCAGCAGAAAAATCATGCGAAATCAAATTATCGTACTATGAGCGCTTCTCCAATTTTCTTGCATTGGTATATCTCATCCTCCATTCATCGGCGCTATTTTTTTCCTTTGGTTTGTTTTCCGTCGATCTTGTTTTCCGTCCTGAGCACCAATGCTACCGACGCCAGGGAGGCAGCTCTCACACCTGGACCCTGCCTATCGACCCATCAACTCATGAACCGGGGACCAACGGCTTTACTTCCCCCGTGATCAGAGATGTTATGCCTCAGAACATCCCGGCGGCGCCGATTATTTATCCATGTAAAGTATTAACAGCATCGGATAGATCAGGCATAACATTTGATAACGGCACAAAAGCATTTGTAAACAAACTTTCTAAGGCCCTTTACACGCGAACCAAAGTACGCCCACGCAAACCAATTTAAACCAAACCAAGGTGATAGTTGCTCCTATCCGATGATGTTGTTGGTTTGCGTGAGCGTACTTCGGTTCGCGTTTAAAGGATCTTAAAAAGTTTGTTTACAGAAGCTTTTGTGCCGTTATCAAATGTTACGCCTGCGTTGATACTCTACCTCCATTTGTGGAATTAGCTTAAAGCAGTACAACCAACCGGTGGAAACTAACGATTTTAAATTGACTCACTATTTGACTAACCTATTGATCTATAAGCGTACTCCATTCTAGTCGAAATTCTAGTACTGCACTATATTTGTTTTGATTCGCTATGAAAGTTTGACAGATAAAATGAGGGGTTCGTGGATTTTTCTATGTTTCGAGGGGTGTATCGATTAGCTTGAAATTGAAGATAGAACCAGAGCTGATCCAAAAAGTTGAGCACGTTTCTTCGGGACCTTCTGGTCTTAGAGTTACCTCTTTGGTCAACGGTATACTTTGTATACCTGTCGATGGCATTAGCTAGCAAAAGCAACATCAAACGCACCGAAAAACGTTAAACCTGCCGAGTTATTAACAAAAAAGAAAATCGATGAAGAAAATCGTTAATCGCAGTTAGGCCCTTGAGATTCTAAACGCTAGATCTGGATTCTCTTTTTCACAATGATATTCCCGCATTTTCCCCGATGATTCTCGATTCCCGACTTTATCCCGCATTTCCCTAATGGGCGCAATGTGGAAAACTACACGCTATTTTAAAACTACCCAAATTTGGGTAGAATTTGGACAGATCGGTAAAAAATGAAACTACCAAAAAATGGTTAAACTATGTTGAGAGTGACAAGTTTACAAATAATCAACATCGATCTGATTCTTGTTGATGTTGTCAAGTTTATCAACTTGTCACTTCCAACATAGTTGATCCATTTTCCGGTAGGTTCAGTTTTTACCGATCTGGGTGGTTTCTACCTAAATTTGTGTAGTTTTGAAATCGCACTAGCAGTTTTGAAAAAGAACACTAATAAACACAGGGTGCCCAGTGATTTTTTCCAGGTTTTCCCGGTTCAAAGCTTAACATTTTCCCGGTTTTTTTTTAATATTTAGTAAAAATAAAGACTTCAATATTACGATATTTTTCGAGATACTTAGAATCAAATTGACGATCTTTTTTTAGACTCGAGTCCTCTTATGATTTTATAGCGCCAGAATTTACAAAGTACCAGAGTCATGGATTTTTGAGGTCACATAACTGCACGCTATCGGACTGAATGGGTCATTATACCAAATTTTAGAGGGATAGAATAAATTTAGAAATTGCTTTAGAAATCTTGAACTTAATACGGAGAAAGAAAATGTTTTGAAGTAGCGTGATTTGTACTGTTATAAGCTCGAATATAAGTCTTAAAACAATTTTAATTTCTAAGATGTGTTTAGAGTCTTAGAATATACCTTTTTTTTAGATTTGTGAATTATGAAAATCTATCTTTGATTTAGAAGAATAAAACAGGATTGGATTTTTTTCAACAATACGGAACTGACAAAAATACTCAAAAAGTGTGATTTTGAAAACATTTCTAGATCCCTGATATTGAAAAATTTCCAAGATTCCAGATTTGGAAAAATACAATCCCTGGAAAATGTTGTTGGCTTGGAGAAATGTTCATGGTTCTAATAATTTAAAAAAATTTCTAGGATTTTGAAAACTCAAAATTCTGAGAAGGACTCGAAGAAAAATTCAACGGAGCTCTGACAAGAATCCCAAAATAGTTCTAGGATTATGTCCCCTCGAACTCTTAGAAGAATTACAAGGGAGTTGTGGGGAGAACTTCAAGGAGAATTCCTAGATGATTCTGAAGAGAATTGTGAGCGAATTGTGAGAAAAATAGCAGAAAATACAGAATTTAAAGGTTTATCGGACAATAATTTCACAGGAATACTAAGAAAGATTCAGAAGAGAACTTTAAGCAAGCTCCGAGAAAAATTCCGAAAGCATCGTGTTCTGAGGTAAATTAAAAAAAAATGCAGAGGAATTTAAATGAAATTCTTAAGAAAGTTTCAACAAAATTTTGCGCAGAATTCCAAGGTATTCTGAGGAGAATTCCAAAGGATGTCTGAAGAGAGTTTTGCGAAAATTGAAATAAAATTTAGAACATAATAACAAAGGTTTAAGATGATTAAGAGCTGAATAAACCATTTTTGACCTGAAGAAACATATGCAGGGCTGGTAGTGCTGATGCGATATAATAGTAGTGACTTTAGTGACTAAAATTACGGAAATAGTGGCCAAATAGTGACTTGTAAATACTAAACAAATAACCATTTATATGGTAACTTAGAAATTCAAATATGGTTTGATATGTCGTAGAACTTAAAATAAAATTTCATTAATTCATCTAATTTAATCTAATCTCACAACGGAAGCTCCTGTGAAGAGCATTTGAAGTGACTTGAATAATTTACTTTTGCTTACGTGTTACATGATGACTAGCAAATAGTAATTCCCATTTTTTATGATCTTGAATTTGATTCTGCGTTCGAGACCTTTAAATATTTGATATATCTAGGTAGATAACTTTGATAATTTGCTATGAACTTTTCACAGAATTTCTTCAGAATGATCTCAAGAACTTTTTTAGAATAATTCCCCTTCTCTTAAACTTAGAGGCAAATAAGCTTTTACAAACATAATATTGCATTCTTGAA